TATATCTATACATGTTCAATTTTAAAAATTCATGGTCTAAGCTTATTGATTTTGGTAAGTTGACTATTATTACTTAAAGTTTGAAATAGACTAACGCATCAAAGAAAGTGTTAGCAATACATGTACACCAACAAACAAAACTTCAAGTATAAAAGGTTAAGTATATAAATTTCTTACATAAATAAAAGAATAATAGGCACTTTTCATGGCTCTTGCTCTTCACATTCACTTTATATTCGTGCTATTTGTACATCCTCGACAAACAACTTGTTATCTCAATGGTTTGTTATTTATAGAGAAATTTAATTTGTTATCTGTCATGAATGGGCTTGATTTGTGCTACAAATATGAAGCAGTTTTCTAATGTGGGCATAAGGCTAAATTATTGGGCCGAAGATTGCATAAAAAGGGGCTTTAGGGTTGAGATGGGGGCAGAGAAAATTTTGGTCGACACTTTCTCCTTCTTCAACTTTCTTTCCTTTGCGTTCACTTCCCTCTGTCTCTGTGCTATCGCTCTCATTTTTTATGTTAATTTCCTTCCATTTACTTAGCATCTTCATTCCAATAGTTGTAATGACTGATATATGAACCCTTTTCCTGAGATATTGAGGCAATATTAATAGAATATTTGTATTCAGTGGTATTTTTTTATTCTATTCACTGCTATCAAATTGGTGATTGTGACATTGTCTAATATACTCTTAATCCAAACTTAATATAAAATTACAATTGTCACTGCTATTAGTTCAGATTTCAAACGCTTTTAATCTATTTTTTGAAATTAATATTTTGGACTACTTCTTGCTTCCTCTATTTTTTTTTATTATAAAAGAAACTTTAATGTGAATGTGAAGACCAAGAACCATGAAAATTGCCTATTCTTTCACAACTTCAAAGAAAGAAAGGGGAAAGCAAAGCCTAGTTTACACATATTATAATGGCAAGCTGTAGCATCCCAAATTTTGGGCCTAGAAGCTCAAGAATATGCTAGAATTTAGTAAGCTACTAGGATCAAGTAATCAAGAGTCCTTAAGATGCCCTGAGAAGATAGAATGGTTCTTAGGGACCAAATCATAATTTTAAAGTCTTTCTTGTATAGAAGCATAATATTTTTATAGACTTTGAGAAAATGTCTGAAAATAAAAAATGAGCAAGTTAAAATCTAGAAGTATCCAAGATAGGCTAAAAAGGAATAAATACAGTCTAAGAGGGTAACAAATGTATCTAAGATTAGTCTAGAGAATAATAAGTAAAGTTGTCAAATTAAACAAAGGTAGAGCTATATTTGACAACTTTATCCTCATGTCCAAAGTCTTCTAGAGAAGGATTAATGCAATTAGATCCTGCGGATCATAATGGATCTAAAAAGGGCTCAATGTGATCATAATTAGATCTCGAGATTATAGTTAGATTTCATGGTCGTAGTAGACCTAATAGAAAGTTGCTGAGCCATATAATATATGGCAATTATTTAAGAAGATGATGGTCTGTGATGAGTTTAAAAAAAAAAAAGCCTCCTAAATTTGGCTAACTATTACATAGAAAATATTCTTGACTTTTTCTTAGATATCTCAATTACTATTAAGGCCAAGAAAGGAGAGAGAAGAAAAACAAGTAAGAGTAATAGCATATCCAAAGCCAAATAGTAATTATCAATATCCAAGGGTAATTATATGTACATAATATGATGAGATTTTGAGAAAGTATCGAAAGTTAAAAACAAACAAGAGTGAACATTAATCTAGGAATATCAAGCTCAATCAAGTCAAAGTGTAATTTCTAAGAGTTTTGAGTCTTAATGTGGAATTGTAGTGTCACGCCTTGAAAATAAAGGGTGATCGGCACAGGTACGAATTACTCAAACATCCCTATAAGCCTCAAAATGAAAATTTATTCCATTTTACAAAAAAATTTAATCAAATTACATGAAAGTTAAAATAATTTTTTCTTTTTGCTAATTATTATAAGGAAGCTTCAATGTTTTTGTGGAAATTTCGATAGAACTTTTCCTACAACTAGGATCTCCTAAAAATCCTATAACAGAAATTTTTACAGATAGTAGTGCAAATCAGGAGCGTAGCTCCTTCCAACCAGCAACCAATATATAAATTAAAATAAGGTTTATCAACAATTTATGTGGAGCATCTAATCTTTCCTTTAAATCAAAAAGACATACGAATTATATATTTACATTAAAAGTAACAGTATCAATCAAAAATTTCCACCCATTGTAGCTACTTTGCCTTTCAAAGGTAAATGGTGGGATCAACGTCAGCTAACAAATCTAAGGCCAAAATAAGTTTTTCAATGAATAGCATTCCCAAAGTAAAATTTTAAAATCTAAATTAACAACCTCTAATGATAGCGTAAACTAAATAAAAATAATTCAACAGAATAAATTTGTAAGTCTGTACATCATAATCATAATCGTAAAATGAAAGTAAGTTGGAAGCAATATATTTTTATCATGCTTAAAGAAAACCATTTAGTCACATGTAAATCCAAGTGATGTATTTGCTAACCAAAATCATGTAAATTTTAACAAATAGATATTTGTCCACATTTAAAATTTTTGAGGACTCAACAGAACAAGTAACAAATGTGGATACACAGCCCACGAGGGTAAATAACCAAATACAGCTTATGCCACGAAAACAAACGTGGACACATAGTCCATAAGAGTAAGTAACCAAACACAATCGAAGCTACGAAACAAACGTGGACACATGATCCACAAGGGTAAATAACTAAATGCGGCTCTAGCAATGAAATCAAATGCGAGTATAAAGCTCACGAATATCAAACGTGAGAACAAAGTTCACAAGACAAAATAGCTAGTGTTTAACTACAGTGCGCTATAAGCTAATGGAACTACTGTTAGCAATAGTGTTCTGTTTAGAGTCCTCTTAAAACCATGTTTCAAACATGCGAGAAAAATAATTATTGTTGTAATAAAATTTTGATTCTCAATGCCAAACTCACATGAATTGTTTCAAATATCAAAATTTGTGAAAGTTATACTTTATAGCTAATACGCCAAACTTACAGTACTTGAGTAATCAATACATTCCAAAGCTTAACAACCATAGTGCTTTCATCAACCTTGGGAATACACTTTTGAGAATAAATAAATGCACATATCATAATTTATTTGTACTTCATTAGTATTCCATAATTTTCAAAATTAATGTAATTCATAAGAATAAAATGTTTCAATAAAAGTCTATGACAATAAAATAAATTAAAGGAAATGCTATTCACTTACTTGTTGTAGTTTCAAATCTCCAAAATATTCTTTCTTGAATTTCTATCAGGATCCTCTTCTTCTACACATCCTATAAAGACATAAAATTTCATGATTACATTTCTTTGAAGTGTATAAATTCATTCATAATTCCATATCTTTCATATTCATACTTCTCCTACTAGACACTCTTTTGAACACTTTATGGTTAAATTTTTCCCAAGCTTAGACTAATCTTTCCTTCCAAATTTCAGCTTCCATAAATCTTATAATACTAATATCTATTCTAATCCTAAGAACCAACAAAATTTTAGACACAAAAAAAAAATCAAGTTTAATTTCTCTTACAAGCATTATAACAACCATCTTATAGGCACAAATTTCAAATTTTACACTTAAGCTCTTTCTCTTTTAAATCCATTATAACAATTATTCTAGACCAACCAACCCAATAATTCAACTTAGCTTGAATATTTTAAGCCATATGTAGATCATTGTTAGGCCTTAGGATAGATATAATTATACATATATATTTTTTGTGAAGCTTAATTGAATTTCTTTCTTCTCCCATTTTTAGCACGGCAGCAAGGCAACACATAGAAATTGATAATCTCCATAGCATCATCCTAGCCACTCACATGCACAGATTATACGAAGAGAAGGAAGAGAGATTGAAGCTTCTAACCTTAGATGAATCAACACGCACGGACAGAGGAAGGAGAAACAACTCCAAATAGTGAAGAAGGAAGGACTGTCGCCGTGAATGAAGAAGAAGAGTGAGCATACCAGTAACCAAAAATGAACAAGAGGAAGAAATCTTAGCTCACCCAAAGCATTTGCATGCACACAAACAACAAGGTAAAAGAAAGAGAGATTTTTCATACTTGAATTAGTGACAGAGGCGGATGAACAGCGGCGAATAGGGAAAGAACTCATAGTTGAGGTGAATGGACCAACAGCGAGCACACCAGTGACGGTGACCCATACAAACGATGACACTAGCTACGGTTGAAAAGGAAGAAAGCATTGATCGACCGGAGGTAGAGCAAAAATGTCGGTCCTATTCCTAGATCCCTCTCTACTCCAAAAATGTCGAGAAAAGAAAGAAGGAAGAGATTATAAAATCTGATAAGAATAAGGGCAGTTTGGTAATTTCACATAGCAAAAAGGAAAAAAAATTAACTCTTCTTCTGGCCTCTTTCAGATTCAAATTTGGAACCTGATGCATAAATGCTTACTCAGCTACCACTACATCAAGTCTCTAACTTGTCATATTTATCCCAAGAACTAATATAAATGCACTTTAAGCAAATTAACACATATATTTATTTAAAAAAATTTGTCAGGGTTATCACATGTAGAAAATTACCAAATTTAGGAAAATTTAAAGAAAACTAGTATATTAAAGGAAGAAATATTTGGAGGAATTATTCCAATTTTATTGGTTGGAAGTGATCCAAAGAATCAATTGTGGAATTTAGATCCAATTTGGCCAAGGAAAATATCCAAAAATTCATGCCCAATATTAAAAATTCAATGAGAGGCCATGTGAGCCCACTTTGAGAGCATGATGGTGTCATTTTGGATCAAAATGGAGGAAGGATTTGGACTATTTTTCTTAGTCCAAACTGATAAAAAACAATGGTTGAAATAATTGAGAAATTAGGATGTTGGATTCCAAATATTATAAAATTTGGTTTAAACCTCCACTACAATCAATAAATGACACTTACTTTCCTCTTCCCATATGCTCATTTTGGTCATCAAATGTGCACGCGCACACACACAGACACAGGGAGAGAGGGAGGGAGTGACAGAGAGAGCTTCAACATGCAAAAATGGTGGTTCAAAGAGAGAAGGATAAATCAAGCAAAATCTCTATCCAAGCCACATTTTTACCTCAAAGTGCCTTCACAAAAGTTGTTCTACTCTTCAAGGGCAACAATCCTACAGTTTTAGATTCTTGAGAGGAGAGATTTGGTGCAGCCAACAACTATGGAAGTGGGTGAATCAAGAAAACTATGACATAGAAACCAAGAGGTAAGAGTTCTTTACCAATTATGTAATAGGTTTGGAAGTTTGGTATAGAAACACTTGAGAATGCTGCTGTCCTGATTTAGACCATGATTAAATTAAGGATTTAAATGTGGAATTAGAGTAATTAAGAGTATTGGGATGAAATTATAATTCAAGGATTATAATGATGCATGTTTGGAGACAAATGGTAAAACAACCTACTATGAGCAATCTCTTCTAGTTCTGCATAAAGCACTATGATTTTGTCAAAATGGACCTCATTAATGGATTCAATGAGCCAAATTGTGTGTGGTGTAGTTGGATTATCAATTTTAGAGTCATTGGAAGTAGAAGTTAAATTTAGGTGATAGAGTTTAATGAGATGCTCAAGGAATTGAAGAAGACTGGTTCAGTTCTTTTGTAGCAAATTATTTGACGGGAGTTACTGGATGTTATCATTAGATTATTTGAAAGAATAACAAATCAATTGTGGAAGCTTTGATTGGACCAATCCCAAGGTTGATGAGAAATTAGAGCAAAAGCAAGAGTTAGAAGGTAGCAACTTAATCTTTTCCCTTGCATATGGTTTTATCCTTGATTATGGTATGATTTATTTGAAATATTGCTGTCATGTGCTATGAGATGCTAAATGTTTCATATGAAGTTCTTCCATGGTGCCATGATATGCGTTTATGTCATCAAGTTCCATGCTAGTGGTAAGTACATTGAATAACATGTCATACTTGTTAGTTATGTTCAATGTTTAAATGGGTCAGGCTATGTAGGATGGTTATGTTGCTACTGAGACTTTATGTCTTACTCCCAATTACTAACTATGTTAGGTGGAAACATAACAAGAACAAGAAGGAAGAAGAATCCAAAGAAGTAAGTGGCGCTAGATTGCCAAGTTGGTGATTTATGTTTTAAATCACATGTAAATTTATATGAGTTATGTAAAGTGAATAAAAAACAATACTATGCGTTTTTTATATTCCTAGAGTGATAAAGCATGAGCTGAAGCTTTATAAATCTCATGGAGCTATGATTGGAATAGATAAGTTCCAAGCTGTTCTAATGCCGGATTTTCTAGAGCTCTATTACTCTTCCATTAAAACTTTTATAGTAAATGGACTCTTTTGACCTTGATATTTGCATACATAATCAATACATCACAGGCTTTCCAAAAAGTTCAAAACCAAATCAATTCAAGCTCTGTAGGTTAAGTTATTAATTTTCTAAGAGAAGGGTCAGAATCAGTCTTGGATACAGAGCAAGTTTAGGGAATGTATTTACTGTACCAGTTACCTCAATTAAAGTCCTGTTTCTTATTTTTCTCTTGTAGAGGACTTGTCAAGATTTACACTAAGCCAAGAACCAGATCAAAAGCATTTTTGTGGAATGAGTTATGAACTTTTCAAGTCATGGAACAGATTCTGAATGAGAAACAAAGCAACATTGGAAGAACGAATAAATTGTGCTATGTGGAACCAAAAAGGGTTTAAAATGTATTTTTGTCACTTAAATGACTTTAATAGCTTTCGGTATAATTTTAGATCATCCTCGTATGAATTTTCTAGATCAAGTTATGAATTTTCAAATTTTAACAAAAATTCTAGACTGACCAAATAAGCAATAACCCAACCATTAAGTTGTGAGTTTTAATTTATGGGCTTCAATTTCCATTTTGCCTGAACCACGTCACTCCAAATTGCATGAGGAAAGGGTAGAAAATTAGGTTTTGATATTTTGGTATTAGAGCAGGGTCAGGCAGAGCCCATATGAGAATAGATATATGGGTTACATTAGTGTGATTCTAAAAAATTAAGTTATTAGTATGAGATAGTTGCTCTAATTGATGTGGTTATGTTAGGCTTAGCATAATTGATCACGATTTAGATGCCTAACTATACTGCAAGCTCAGTAGAAAAGTTTGAATGTTTGAATTGAGTGATTTATGTATGTTGAGTATTATGTTCAAAAAGTATAATGATGAACAGGTGAAAAGGATAAAGAGGAATAGAATAGGAAATGGTCCAAGATATCTAATGTTGAAAAGAATAGGTGTCAGCCAATCCCAATGAATTTCTTGGGAAAGAAAATAAAGAGGAATAGACAAATATAATAAAGATGATTGATATACCAATAATGGTATAATAGAATGAATATGCTTTGCCGAACTTTTAGATAATTAGTAAAGTTGGGGTTAGATAAAATACCTATAATGATGTAAGATACATGAATAGAATACTTAGTCAATAGTGAACTTTAAGATATCATTCCTTTATATGATAATTTGGTGATGTCATGCTAGTAAAATAGTTATTGTAAGTAGTAATAGTTTTCTTAAAAACCTAGATGTATTTGACTGCTAGACCTAATAAGATGAAGTCTTGACCACGGAATTTTCCCAAGAGAGTGGGAATTGGTCCTCCAAAGGAAAGAGAAGTGTAGCCAAGGCAAGGCAAAGCGGAGTTTACCTTACTCCAATGAAAGCATAAAGTAAAAGGTGGCCAAGAATAATGTGGGGATTAGATATTCCTTGAGTTTGGCATGATACTAAAGGAGGTTTAAAGGCAAATTTTCTTATGTTATAAATAACTATCAAGTTATTGTCATATTAGTAACTAGACAAATGCCACTACCACGACAAAATGATGAGTCAAGTAGAGAGACAACAATGACAGTCTCTCATGAAAAAGTATAGGTAGCCACTAACTCAGAATTTAGAGACTCCCCACCAAAGGGCAATGACTAGAGAACAATATGATCTATAGTTAAGTAAGCCAAATAGGGGTAAGAGTTTGTGCTTTAGCACAAAAGTATAGTGGCAACGATGTGTTCATTTTTAAAATGTAGAAGAGTAGGAATGATGTGGTTTTTTATGTTTATGGTGGGGAAAATTTCAAGAGCTTTGCTTGGCTGGTACGAAAGATTTATTTATATAAATAAAAGTGATGGAGGGGTATACATTATGGCATTTAAACAATAATTATACGCTCCCAGGACCCCACTGCCCACCCACCACACTTCACACACACACACGCTCTTTCTATCATGATGGCCAAAGTTAGTGATTTCTCTTTTGTTTATCCATTTCATCGGATTCGATCTGCCTTTGATCCTTTCACAAGTCATCTACTCTTCACTTTGTTCATACATATTTCTTTCTTTTGCTCATGTGCGCCACTCGTTTTTTTTTTTTTTAATCTTACTGTGTGAATGTGAGAGAGGGTGAATTCAATAACAATAAGGTGGATCGTCAACTCGCTCTGCAATAATATATACATGTATATTCCAACCGATATGTATGGATTAGAGATATTCCAACGGCCCAAGTAAAGAACTGTTACAAATAATGAAGAAACTAATAAATGGGAGGTAATGTAAAATAAACCAAATTTGACACACGAATGTTCGGTTCGGTCACATTTACAAGTTTTTTATTTATAAGGACATTGAGTTTACTATTTATATAGTGCAAATTTAATAATCAAACTACTAGTATTTTTAAGGACACTGAGTTTAATTTTCTTCTTCAACATTTAAAAATGATATATTGATCAATTATTGTTAAAAAAGTTAAATTTGACTATTAATTGACTTAACAAAATTATGGAAAATGACTTTAAAAATTACACATAAGTATCTTATCAGAACATTAATACCAATTAAGCCTCAAAAATTACATATAACTACCAATATACGAACATTTTTTCTTACTCATGTAAAAAACCAAAATATAATTTTTGACCAACCACTTTGATTAGCTATCGGGTTATTAATGGATCACCATTGCCAGCAAAAAATACTAGTACGTAATTAAAAATATTATATTTATCTTAATGTCTTATTAAAATATTGATACTTTGATATATTTTGAAGGAGGATTTATAACTTTTGGAGGAAGGTTATAAATTATCACATTATGTTAAAAACTTAATCGGTATTATTTTTTATGATTGAGAAAAAATTGCACTTGTCTGTAGGCAACGTGCACAATGGAAGACTCTTGCATCTAGTTGAAGATTTGCATATAACGGAAAGAATGTTACATTTAGCTGAAGATTAACTTGCATATATATATATATATATATATGGTTTGCAATGTTACAAAGCCTCATTCACATAATTTTTCTTGCAAAGTTTTCTTATATCCTAAAATTTCATTCGGGGATAATTAAACTTGCAAGAGAAATGGGAATAAGAAGATGTAATGGGGAATGAAACAAACCTCGGTAAAAGTCTGGTAAAAGGTCCACCCGTTATGATGGCAAACGAATCATTAATCCCCCAGTAGGACTGTAACTGAGGTATTATTTTATAGTTGACAGCTTTTAGAAAATAACCGTATCTTGTAGTAGAATTGTGGTTACCAAAATGCATCATCTTTAACTATGCGATAATAATGCCGAAGAATTTGGCTGACCATTTCATAACAAGATCTAGCATCAAATTACTCTGCTGATCATTTGACTATATGCCATCAAGTGTTTTGTTTCAGGGGGGGAAAAAAAACCAACCTTGCAATGATATAAACCAAGCCAAAATTTATCCTTTATGATGCTATGAAAGGCAGTGATTTCATATAAAAATTGACCAAGACAAGCTTTGAAAGGCTGTGAAGAATGTGTCAAATGAAAATCGGCGTCACGATTGTAAATGCGTTTGAAGGCATTCAGTTTTTTGATGTTTTTTTAAATAATATTCTTAACCATTGACGGAAGAGTTTGATGGTCTTCCAAAGAAACGAATAACATTTTCATATTTATTCGAACCACGCAACAATCAGAGCAATATTAATATCAAGCTGGGTTACGCACTTCAACAAGAATTGTTCATCTTTTCGACATGATTCTTCTATTATCAACATGATTCTTCAAAATTGCTTGCCTCATTGACAAAGAGGCAAACAGAGTCTAGATATATGTAGAGTGATTATCTCATAGCTGCAATTTAGAAATGAAGATGAAGGGGTAAGTCAAAGAGATTGTTAGTGAATATGTTGATATGCACTAGCCTTATATGCACTGAATTAAACTAAATAACAACTTATATGTAGATAGGATGCAACTTATGTCATTCTTCCCAACAAATTGAATTGAGATTGAATTAGAATTATGGATGGTAGCAAAGTGTTTTGAGATTTTCAAGTTATTTGGAAATGAATGAAGGTATTCAATTATGGATAGTAGATTTTTTAGAGTTTAGTGGAATATAATCCTTGGCACAATTATTTAATTGGCTTAGCTCTCATTCTCATAAATCTCATGTAGCCCGAACAACCATTTGAACTTAAAAATCACTATACAATCCTAAAATTCTAGCAATTATATGACAAGCTAGACTTGCTTCGTTAATTTCCTTTGTGTAAATTGGCAATGGACATATTAGAAATACAGCACTAATTCAAAATCAACTCCTAAAATAAATTCAAATTAAGTTTTCAATGATTAAATAATGCAATCACACAATTTAGTACATAAGACCAATTTTAGAACAAGGCAAGCATGCAATTATAATGTAATATTGGATCTCAAAATTCCAGCAAAGAATCCAACATTCCAATAAACAAAATACAAGTTTCCTCATCAAATGTCTCCAACATTTTATCAAACACTTAAAGTGCACTAATTACAGTCCTCCAAAGCAAATTAGGAAATCTAGGGAAATTGCAATTAGAATAGAGAAGAAACTAGAATTAAAATTGCTTAGCTTCTTGATATGCACTTTGCTTCTTGGAATCCAACTCATCTAGCCTCGCATCGTTGCCTCCAAGAAATCTCCAAATCCATGAAGAAGCTTGATCATCTTGAGAAGTAAAGTGCTGTGCGATTGTTTTATGGAATTGGAGAGAAGACCAAATTTGAATCGGATATAGTGAGGATTGAATTGATTGAGTTGAATTAGTGGTTAACGGAAACCATGTCATGGATTAAGGAGAGATGAAAGCTGAAGCTGAGGCGGAAGAGGATGAGAAAGAGACGAAGAAAGAAACGAAGAAAGAAGAAAAGGAAAACTGGAATCCAAATGAATTGAAGTGAATGAGGGAATATAAAGTCAAAACTGGTTTCATGT